GGCCTGTTTTTTACTCCCATAGGTGCAGAGGTGGAAAGTTGGAATTACATTCACTCGTGTTATATATTAAAATAAAATTTTATATACTTTGTACTTTAAGTACTTATTCACATCTGTACTTGCACTTGAAAATGTTTTGTGTAAAGTAATTTACTTAGTTACATTTCCAGTCCATGTTGTTCCTGAGTAAAACGTGTGAATGTAAATATGTGAACTGAAAGCAGGAGGAGGGAAACGCCACCGTCAGCCTGGAGTGACTGAATCTGCTCTTACCAGTCAGACGCTGTTCGATCCGGCTAGAAGTGATGACGAGTCGTGACGGAGGAGTTTCCCGTAAAGAAACCCATAAAGATCGTCTACAAACTCTGATCTGCTTTTCTGCAGGAGTGGAGTAAATCTCAGCAACGCTTCAAGTCCAGCTGGAGAAAATGAAGTAAAGTCCTGGCACAACCAAACTTTAACGGACATCAGTTGTATCTGAGCTCAAACTGGAAGCACACGTTCATGCTCAATAATCACAATCCAACACAGTCACGTCCTCTGGATGGCTGCTTTTTGTTGAAATGTTTCTGAGTTTGTTGTGGCTCCTCGGACTGAAGAAGTCCTTTGGATGAAAGACGAAACATTTCAACAAAAAGAACTCGTCCAGAGGACCTGATATTTTATAACTTGTCATATCTCCCACTCCATTCATCGCTGTAGAAACATAAAAATGTTTGGGTGTGACCATCAGGGTCTTATGCAGCTGATGAGTTTTTAGGATCGGACCAATTGTTTTCACACAGCAACTGTTTGAGGCTTATTTTTCAGTTTGCCTCCCATTAACTGGGCTGTCAGGGAGTGTCAGACACAGATGTATGGTTACCATGGTGACTATAATGAGTTACTGCTAGCAGCCATAACAACTGCATACACTTTTCACACAGTTCATCGTGTAGGCCTCATTTATCTTATACTGGACTCTTGGGCAGTGGCTGCACTTCACCAGTTCAGTTTATTTATAAAGCACCAAGTCACAACAGCAGTCGTCTCAGGGGCTGAACAGAAACATTCAGATATAAAAATAATTACTGGACACTATTTACTTATCTATTTGGTGTTAGTGTTTATTTTTAGATGGGACATCTTTGTGATTGTGGGCTCTCTGTTGATAAGTGCATCTGTTGCAGTGGACGTCCTCCATGAGAGACCACCTTCAGACCCAGCATCCTCATCTTCTGCTCCTCTGTGAACAACTCCGCTGATTCTTCTGGACATGTACACTTTGATACTTGCCTGCTGAAACAAAGCTGAGTGAAAAATAAAGTCAGTTCATTCAGCCAGGACCTGTCTCCAGGCGCCTCTCTGACAGTTTGTGTCCGCAGCGTCGACCTCACTCATCTCTGCAAGAAAGAGAAAAGTTCCTTCGTGGTGATCGGTGACTTTTCACTGTCAGGTAACGCTTCAGGTCAGCTATATTTAGTTCACAACAATACAGTGGTGTGTGTGTGTGTGTGTGTGTGTGTGTGGTGGTGCACACACACACACACAAGCAGACTAAATGGAAAGTGTATTCCACCCAAGGTGCCCAGTATTTTCAGTTCTCTGTTGATCAGTTTTCTCTGCCCACAGAGGGACTTTACCATCAAACAGAGAGCATTCAGTGTGTGTGTGTGTGTGTGTGTGTGTGTGTGTGTGTGTGTGTGTGTGTGTGTGTGTGTGTGTGTGTGTGTGTGCATGTGTGTGTGTGTGTGTGTGTGTGTGTGTGTGTGTGTGTGTGTGTGAGAGAGAGAGAGAGAGAGAGAGAGAGGTACTCTTCCTAAAGAGAGCACAGGAGGGCATGCAGAGTTTTTCTTCCTTTTCAGTTTTGGGAACTGGACCAGACGCTCTCTTGTCACATTTATCTGAGCATCACTGAGAAGATATTGAATTAAACTTTATTTACATAAAATGTATAAATCAATCAACCTTTATTTCTACAGGTAAATCCCATTGAGCCTCCAGGACTCATTTACAAGAGAGACCTGATTTCAACAAAGAATGATGACAACAATGGACAACAGCAACAACAATAAACAGTTATAAAAAGTCATACTGCAGGGGTTTTTTTTTTTTTTTTTTTTTACAAATAGGATGGCTAAAAGGAAAAGGTAACAACAGACGCTCTCTTGTCACATTTATCTGAGCATCACTGAGAAGATATTGAATTAAACTTTATTTACATAAAATGTATAAATCAATCAGTCGTATTAAATATTTGAGTGGCACACTGTATGGTGCAGTTGCCATGGAAACCATCCATCCATTCAACCATCCATCATCTTTACCCGCTTCTTTCTTTTTGGGTCACTGGTGTCCATGTCCAGCCATCACTGTGTGAGAGGTGGGGGACACGCTGGACAGGTCTCAGTCCATCACAGGGACACACTGGACAGGTCTCAGTCCATCACAGGGACACACTGGACAGGTCTCCAGTCCATCACAGGGCCACATAGAGACAAACAACCATTCTCTCTCACACCTAGAGACAATTTAGAGTTACCAATCAGCCTAACATGCATGTTTTTGGTCTGTGGGAGGAAACTGGAGTACCCGGAGAAAACCCACGCATGCACGGAGAGAACATGCAAACTCCACCCAGAAAGGCCCCTGGACCAGGATTTGAACCAGGGACCTGCTCACTGAGAGGCAGCAGCTCCACCACCTGAGCCACCGTGCTGCCCTTCATTTAAACCAGATATGAATAATTCAATATAAGGATTTGATGTGTTTAATAGTGTTAAAATTGTTAAGTGGTTGCTTTCTTATGCTTTAAAATAAATTTTGATTTTTTTAATTTAAATAAATAGAACTTGATTGTAAATTTAGCATTAATAAATTAAATTATACTTTATTGCCCACTGCCAAAGGCAAAAACACACCTACGTCTATGCTGTGTGTTTATTTAACTGTTAGCAAAATATCTCATGAACCACAGCACAGATTTGAATGAAACTGTCTCATCACTTAGTGCACCTCCACAGCTGATTAATGAGTCAGTCCCATTCAAGATGGCCGCCACAGCTAACTGGTCCTCGCCAAAACCAAAATGTCTGTAGCGTAATCAAATGAGCTGAAGTAATATTTTGTGATTGAATAGCTGAACACACGAGGCCTAATCGTGAAAACTGAGATGGTCCCCTCCAATAAATCATTTGAGCAAACTTTACTTTTAGACAATATAATATTAAAAACAGATCTTATGCACCATTAATGAAGGCAAGAGACTGGAGAGCGTTTGAAAAACGATTCATTCTTCAGAGTGAACAATAAATATACTGCACGAATAAGAGACACTGTTCTTATGACAGATTTATTAAACATGTCATTTACTAATGTCTCGTAGCAGAACATGATCAAACACGTTCACGCTGTTCATTTTGAAGCAGCACATTTGACTGTAGCTTTTGAGTCCCCCCCCCCCCCCCCCAACATAATAACCTAATAAACCATACCATAATAAAAAGGTCCTGTTAGTCACATGGAGACTCCAGCCCTGCCTGGGTGCTAACAGACCAGCTCCCAGGACATCCGCTCATGTCATCATTCACAAAGATGCTTATGCTCAAAAGATGAGTTTGGATTTTCATCTAATCTGTAAAAAGTGGCGGGTGATGTGCATTCCTTCAAGTAATGCTTTAAACCACTTTTTATTTCTTAATATGTTTAAAATTAAATTCATAGTTGCTTCACTTCTCACCAAGTCCTTGTTACACATATAATGAAACTTTTCATTTGTGTTGGTGGACAGTTTACAAAGTTTAAATATACATACACACGGTACACAGAGCGCATTATTTCTGGTTTTACGCGGCCCACCACTTGCTTTCCTTTTCCTAAACTCTATAAATAAATCCCAACGAGTTAACAAGTGAGTGGACTGAACGTGGTGTTTCCTCGAGCTCAGTCAAATGAGGCTCACAGAAGTTTCCGAGCTCAGAGGAACAAGTTCTGTCCGTCTCATTTCACTGTGGTTCCGCCTCTCACTGCCTCTCCGCTCGGAGACGTTCGTCACTTTCCGATGAGCAGTTTCCGGAAATCAACCCAAATATGGAGCTAGAGGCGTGTCTCTGTTTACCGGATGTGACTATTTTTGGCTCGCACGCGCAACCCGGGCTGTCCTTGTCATGTTTCACCGCGTCTGATTGTGAGATTAAAAAAACAACAACAGAAGAAAAGTGACAGGTCTGATGTTCCATGAAGGAATGCATATCGCCCGCCTCCAAACTTTCAGACAAGGGTCATCTTTTAAGAAATGATGAAGTTGTAAACATTTTGGACAAACTTTGAAAAAACTAATTAATAAATAATAATAAATGGATGTGCAATCTCATGCGACACGTCCCCAGATGTCACGTTAGGTCTCATCTAATCCAGATTTAGCTACATGTTTTTAATCAGCTAGTTCTGGCCTTTTACTGTTCGATATAAGTTAGCTATGGCAGCCATCTTGGTTCGAATAGACTCCAAACTTTAATCGGCTGTGGATAAGGCCATTACTTTCTGACTGTCATTAAACACGTCTTGTGGCTCACGAGATATTTTACTAACAGACACAGTTGACTGTATAGTGCAGTGTTCAACCCAGACTTTTCAGTCTGTTAGCTGAAAGTGAAGGATGAGTTTCATCCCAAACCTTTGCTCAGAGGCTGGAGCTGTGATTGACAGCTGCACCCTCTGTGGTGAAGCTCTCCATTCACGACTCCTGTCGTCGACGTCACGGAGCCGCTCAGCCAATCAGCATCGTCGGCGTTCCTCCTGGTCTGGCTTCTCTTGGCCCCGCCCACTTGCACATGACGTCGCGGCGCATTCAAAAGTTCCTCATATAAACACGGAGGCAGCGGGGCCCCGGCTCCTGATACTCCCAACTTGAATGACACGAGCGCATCTTCTCTGCGTGACAGGCACCAACATGACGCAGTGGTAACCTGAGCGGGTTCCACGCGCGCCCAGAGGAGACAGAAGAGAGAGAGAGAGAGAGCATGATGACGGCTAAAACTCTGGAGAAAGTGCCGCTGAGCCTGGGGGGGTTCATGCACCCCGCGGCGGACGGTGTCTTCTCCATGGACGAGATCGCGACCAGCCTGCCAACATCTGTCACCATCTTCCCCAGCGCCGAACTGGGAGCGCATTACGAGCACAGCGTGGCGGCAGGTCAGAGGACTTTCCATTTACTTTACAATCTGTTGCATGAACCGGATTAAATTATGTAAAACCAGATTTAAAGGTGGATGATAGTTTGAGTAGCACGTGTTGTATCAGAGTTGGTTACGTCTCAAACTTCTGTTGTTCCAAAGTGAAGGAAAACAAAACGTGATGTTGAGCAGGGGAACATCTGGATGGTTGACCACCACATCCTGCACTTCTCTTAATGTTCTAGCAGCTTTGACCTCCTGGCTGCGGGATGTTTTTGAAGGGGAACAGATGTGGACACAACACCTGCACAGATGTTGACCCCGCTGTGTTTCTCCTCAGATGGCCTGATGGGAGCCGACATGAGCGCAGACAGGCGCGTGGACCTCTCCTCCTACTCCAGCGGCTTCTCCCAGCCCGCCCCCCATCGGAACCAGACCTTCACCTACATGGGGAAGTTCTCCATCGACTCCCAGTATCCCGGGAACTGGAACCCCGAGGGGGTCATCAACATCGTCTCGGGCATCTTTAACGTGGCCCAGCCGCCTCCTCTTCCTCCTCCCTCCTCCTCAGCCTCCTCCTCCCCGGCTTCATCGGGGTCTCCTCATCACTTCTCCAGTGGAGGTCTGAGCTGCACCATGGCGGCGCAGAGCCAGCCCGACATGGACCACCACCACCTGTACTCCCCCCCGCCTCCCTACTCCTCCTCCAGCTGCGGGGAGGTGTACCAGGATCCCTCGGCGTTCCTGTCCACCTCCTCCTACCCGCCTCCCTCCTACTCCTCCCCCAAGCAGCCCAGCTCAGACCCCCCCGGGCTTTTCCCCATCATCCCCGACTACTCGGGCTTCTTCCCGCCCGCTTGCCAGCGGGACATGCACACCGCGGCGATCCAAGACCGGAAGCCGTTCGTCCCGTGCCCGCTGGACACGTTCCGGGTGCCCCCACCCCTGACCCCACTGAACACTATCAGGAACTTTACGCTGGGGGGTCCGGGGGGCGGCCCGGATGCGGGTCAGCCGAGGCTCCCGTCAGCCTACAGCCCGCAGAACCTGCCTCTGCGGCCCATCCTGCGCCCGCGGAAGTACCCGAACCGTCCCAGCAAGACGCCCGTGCACGAGCGGCCGTACCCGTGCCCGGCGGAGGGCTGCGACCGGAGGTTCTCGCGCTCGGACGAACTGACCCGGCACATCCGGATCCACACGGGACACAAGCCCTTCCAGTGCCGCATCTGCATGCGCAACTTCAGCCGCAGCGACCACCTCACCACGCACATCCGCACGCACACGGGCGAGAAGCCGTTCGCCTGCGACTTCTGCGGCCGCAAGTTCGCGCGCAGCGACGAGCGGAAGCGGCACACTAAGATCCACCTGAGACAGAAGGACCGGAAGTCCTCCACCGTGTCCTCCTCCTCCTCCTCCTCCTCCTCCTCCGGCTCCTCCGCGCTGGAGCGGCCCGGAGCCGGAATCTGCTCCTAGGTTCGGGTGGCCCGAACACCGCGGGCTGGGACGGACCGGGACTTTAGTGCAGCGGCCCAGAACTCTCCTGAATGCACTTTGCCTCCTGACCAATTAACTATCCATAATCTGATCTAATCTGGAGGTTTGGATTATTCTAAATAACCGCAATAATCAAAGAAGCTTTTCACTGACGTTTGTTGTGATGTTTGTATCAGTGCCTTGTTGTTCTGGACTTCAAGGACTCGTGTAAATCTGTTAAATCTATTTTTGTACATCGTGTAACTCCTTCACTTCTCACGTGTTTAAAAACAATCTGTAAATATGTTGAGCTGTTTGTTGTTTGAGACTCATTAAAAAGTGACAAAAAAAAAAAGGTTGCTTTATTACCAGAAGAACCGGCTCCAGCTCTTTCATTAGATGTTTATTTATTTTATTTTGTTTATGTGTTTGTTGATTTTGGAAAAACAGATTTGGGTAAAATCCCTCGTTGCGTCAGCGGCTGGTTTGAGTCACAGTTTAACCCACGCACTTTCACTCGGATTATTTTCAGACTCTGATCTGGTGGAAAACCCAACAGAACCACAGGTTCTGCTCAGTGACCAGCACATATTCTGCATTTTTCTTATAGAGTGAAGAAATAATAAATAAATAAAAAAAGGGGGGGGGGGGGTTCTTTTCTATAATCTCAGCATATAAAACTAATCTCAGTTGTTTCACTCTTTAGGTTAAGCTCATTTCAATTTAATTTTTAAATGAGGTTTTTGTTACTGGAATAATTTCAACACGCAGATAAAAACATTGAAACGTTCATTTGGTTTGAGTCATCTGGTTCAGTGAAGTTACTCTTTAAATATATAAAACAGGATTATTTGGATCTTTGTGGGAGCAGGACCAGAAAAATGAAGCGTTCTTCTTCTCCTGCAGTGAACATGGACCCGCAACACGCACCGACTGAAACACGCAACATATTTCAATCATAAAACACGAAAACTGAACTTTAAAGAAAAAGGAGGGATGAAAATGAAAGAAATGGAAGTGAAAACAAAATAAAAGTTATTAATATAATGTTCTTATTTACATGAAATGAAATCAAAATGTAATAAATGACATGTTTAATAATTTCACTGTGATTTGATTAAGAGTTAAAATACAATAAAGTGAACATCAGACTTGTTAAAATTTGAGTAATTTAGTAAAAGTCAAAGGATGAGTTTTGAAACATCAGATGGTCTGCAGCCTCATGAGTTACTGAGAAGAGCTCAGAGGACCTGAGGAGTCACCAGGTCAAACCCACCGACAATAAGTTCACGTCCTTCTAAAGACATTTTCAAACACGCCTGACCCGAGCACTTCTGCTTCTTGTCAAGATTTTAGCTACTGCGTCTTCAAGCTGCCTCTGACGTACACTCAGAGTTATACTCTGAGTTATACTCAGAGTTATACTGAGTTATACTCAGAGTATAACTCTGAGTTATACTCTTTAATGCTTAGGTCTACTTACAGTTATGTCTATACTCAGAATTATTCTGTTCTATGTTGAGAGTTATATCTTTCTGTAGTCACTTATACTCTTCAGTAGTTATACTTCCCTGACTTGTACTTTTTATTATACTACTTTAAACTTGGAGTTGTTTTTCTCTATTCAAAGTACTTTTCTATGCTCGGAGTTAAACAGTTTTATGTCCAGGGTTAGTTTTCTATTTACTCAAAGTTATGCTGTTCAATATTCATTTACCATATTTTTCAGACTATAAGGCAAATTTAAAATCCTTTAATTTTCTCAAAAATCAACAGAGCCTATAATCTGGTGCACCTTTGTATTAATTCTGGCTGTGCTGATCTCAAACTGATTTTATGTACATGGCGCTCAAAAATCTGCCAAAATGAACTTGTTTCACTGAATGTGCCTTATAATCTTGTGCATTTTATAATCTGGTGCATTTTATAATATGGTGCATTTTATAATCTGGTGTGTTTTATAATCTGGTGCATTTTATAATCTGGTGCATTTATAATCTGGTGCATTTTATAATCTTGTGCATTTTATAATCTGGT